CTGTACCCCAGTCCTTGTTTGCATAAATAAATAAATCTTTAAAAAATATAACCTAAAGTGTGAAATGACTATCCCTGGGTATATCATAATACAAATAAATGATTAAATAGAAAAAAAAGAAAAATTTCCTGTGCAGAAGAATGCCAAATAACTTAGGTAGATACCTTGCTCTTAAGGAGTGGAGCCTAATTTTCCAGCTCCTGTAAAGGGTAAGGTGGAGAAAGGTAATTTAGCAGTGAAATGTGACAAATATGACCTCATGCACACGCTCAAGGTTAAGATCAGTAGTGACAATCTTGAAAGCATGTACCTTGACATGATGTGCTGAAAATGGCACTGTACCTTTGCTTCCCGTCAAACCCTTACTTCTGCCTAAAGCTAAGAAAAGCAATATACAAATCCCAATTTGTAAAATACCTGACCAGTACCCCTCAAATCTGTCAAAATCATTAAAAACAAGGGAAATCTGGGCCTCCTTGGTGGTGCAGGCAGTTGAGCCCCCCACTGTGAAGCTGCCCTCAGCCTCTGCAGCACAGGTTCCATCCCGGCCAGCCAGTGAGAATCCCACATGGTGAAAAAGACCTCTCCTGTCTTGCCCGCTGCTCCCCTCAGCAGTGTATTTCCTCAGTCTGCTTGTTCTGTTCCCCGCTCTGTCTCTGGTGAATCCTCTCACCCTCCCGCGTCTCTAGCCTGTACCCCAGTTCTTGTATAAATAAATAAATCTTTTTTTTTAATAGAGGCATGTTTTATTTATTTATTTATTTGTTTGTTTGTTTTGTTTATACAAGCACTGGGTACAGTCAGAAGCGCGGGAGGGTGAGAGAATTCACCAGAGCCAGAGCGGGGAGCAGAGAAGGCAGAAAGACCGAAGCACACTGCTGAGGGGAGCAGCGGGCGGCAGGAGAGGTCTGCGCGCCATGTGGGACCCTCCTCCGGTGGCCGGGGAGCAGCCGGGGATAGAACCGGCGCTGCAGAGGTCGCTGGCAGCTTCGCAACCCAGCGCTCAACCGCTGCGCCGCCAGGGAGGCCCTAAATAAATAAATCTTTAAAAAAAAAAAAACAAGGGAAATATGAGAAATTCAATCAAGAGGAACCTAAGAGGACATCACTAAATGTAACGTGTGCCCTATGGGGTTCTGCACAAAGGATGTTAGGGAGATAATAAGGAAATCTGAGCAAAGTAGGTCTCAAGTGGATAGTAAAAATGTACAAATACAGACTCACTAATTGTAACTAATGTGAAATGGTAACAGGAAGCACGCAAGGCATAGAGGAAGTTTTTGGTAAATCTAAAGCTGTTGTAAAAAATGAAGTTTTGGGGGGCCTCCCTGGTGGCACAAGGGGTTAAGTACAGCACTATGAAGCAATCTACAGCTTCTGCAGCATGAGTTCGATCCCCGGCCGCCCAGGGAGTAACCCACATGACGCACCAGACCTCTCCTGACTTGCCCGCTGCTCCCCTCAGCAGTGTATTTCAGTAGATCTGCCTGTTCTGCTCCCCACTCCGTCTCTGGTGAATCTTCTCACCCCCCGCACCTCTGGCCTGTATCCCAGTTCTTGCATGCATAAATAAAATCTTTTTTAAAAATGAAGGTTTTTTTAACCTCCTCCCCAAATCAATATAACTTCCTTCTTCTGACTCCTTAAGTCATAACCTTCTCTGAACTTCAATTTGCCCATCCTGAAATAGGCAAATTATTTCTAATCTTTCTGACCATAATCCTAGCAATGCTCATTTAGTGAATGTGCGCTATCTACTACATTCTGCACTGATCACCCTTCCTTTGCACTATCCTGTGTAACCCTCACTGCCAACCTGCGGGCTGGGATAGTCATGTTCCTTCTTTCCCCACCATGGAAACAGTCTGCACCTAGACCATAGTCACAGAGTTGGTCAATGGGAGCCAAATTCAAACTCTGGTCTGATCTCAAAGGCTTTTTAAAAAAAAAAAATATATATATATATATTATTTATGCATACAAGAGCTGAGGTGTAGGCCAGAGATGGGGGGGTGAGAGGATTCACCAGATATGGAATGGGGAGCGGGACAGGTGGATCCATTAAAATATACTGCTAACAGGGGCTGTGGGCAAGGCAGGAGAGGTCTGCTATGCCATGTGGGTAGCTCCCTGGCTGGCCAGGGATCAAATTCATGCTGCAGAGGCTGCAGATAACTTCACAGTGCTGAGACTTAACCCCTTGCACCACCAGGGAGGTCCTCAAAGGCTTTTTAAACTGTGTTCTTCACTGCCTCTCCTCTTCCCACCTTCAATGCCCCTGTATGCCCAGCATTTATGTAGACAGAATCTGCCCACCTCAAAACCAGTTTTGAAAGACGTCCCTCCCAAAGTGCTTATAAGTAAGAAATCTTTGTTTTTTTTTTAAGATTATTTATTTACACAAGAACCGGGGTACCGGCCTCATGCGCAGGAGGGTGAGAGGATTCACCACAGATAGAGCAGGGAACAGAGCAGGCAGACTGACGAAATACACTACTGAGGAGAGCAGCGGATGAGACAGGAGAGGTCTGCCTCACCGTGTGGGACTCTCGCTGGCCGGCCGGGAATGAACCGATGCCGCAGAGGTTGTGGACAGCTTCACGGCAATGCGCTCAACCGCCTGCACCACCAAGGGAGGTCCCATAAGTAAGAAATTTTAATTGAGCTCTAAAAATCTACTTCTGGAGCCTCCCTGGTGGCCTAGGGGTTAAGTCTCAATGCTATCGCCACTACAGCCTGAGTGTGGAGTTCCCTAGTCAGGGAGCTACCCACATAGCGCAACAGACCTCTCCTGTCTCACCCGCTGCTCCCCTTAGCAGTGTATTTCAGTAGTTCAGTCTGTTCTGCTCCCCACTCTGTCTCTGGGGAATCCTCTCATCCCCCAGCACCTTTGGCCTATGCCCCAGTTCTACACACACACACACACACACACACACACACACACACACACACACAATCTACTTCTGAAGAATTTTGAACAGAAAAGTATTGCTGATATTAACAGCAATCATTATTTGAGCACTTACTCTGTCAGGAACTCTTCTAAGAACTGCATGTTTCTTAGCAAATTCATAGTCATGCTAAGAGAAACCATTAAAACTCCCTCTTCACACTCTCCTGTTGGGAATATAAAATGGAACAGGCATTCTGGAAACTACTTTCCACAGAATGCTAAACATAGAGTTACCATGTGACCCATCAGTCCCACTCCAGCGTTCATACCTAAGAGAATTGAAAGCATGCATTTGTACAGAAGCTCATATGCGGATGTGCACATTATCGACAATGGTCAAAAGACAAACCCAAATGCCCACTGCTGGAGATGGGTGAGCCCATGCGGCATATTCATACCATGGGATATGGACAATAAGAAGGAATGATGAGGTACCAACACTTGCTACCACATGGATGAATCTTGAAATCATTATGTTAAGTGAAAGCAGCCTGTCACAGAAGATTGGGTAAATTAGATGGTATTGTAGGGTGAATTATTTCTCAATAGTTGTCTTAAAAACCTTTAAAAACCACTTTACGCAGAAAGAAACCATAACACATACACACTAAGAACATTGCTGAAGATTACACAGTCACACGCTCAGCTCATTCAAAAGAACAGATCTCTAAAGAGCCGTCTCACGGCCGTGAGTGGCTTTTGTTCGTTTCCCCCTCAATGGTAACTTCCGTCACTGGACTCCACCCTTCACCTCTGCCCGAGGACCTGCCTGAGTTAGGATGAGAACATGCAGTGTTGGATGGATGGAGCGTAGTACTTGTGAGGACAGGCCCCAAGGAGCAGCCCTGGGGATTCTTCCTCTTGACCTTCTTTCTCCTGTTTGTTGTTCCCCTCTCACAGCAGCGCATAAATGCCAAAAAAGCCGGGATTTTGTATCCCCAGACACTAGTTCAGTACTTGGAGTGATGGATGAAGTGAACAGTGATTGAAAAAATAAATGGCACTTCAGCAGATCAATTGAGGTAAAGGGGAGGTCTCTGCTTTGGGTGCCGGTGACACTCAGAGATGGAAATGGGCAGAGCAGGGGACAACTGGGACAGCAGAGGTACTTGTGGGGGAGATCCAGGGGAGGCTGGGTAGAATATCTAAAAAATACTTCATTGAGTTTGGTGCTCAAGTGCTGACTGGAACCAGGGAAATACCCTTGATAGTGGCAATGGCCCAGTGGGAAGGGACCGTCAAGAGAGCATACCCCATCTCAAGGGATGGCCGCAGCAAAAGCAGATTTTTTGAGAAGCTGAAAACAACTTCCATATGAAATCCTCCCTGTGAGTCAAGTTTTTCTTTCTGGTCATCTGTTTCTGACTTGTTGGAGCGATCTGGATTTGAGTCTTCCCTAGAAGTCCCGAGTAAGAGTGGTGGTAGCAGAGAATGCCGGATGCATGTTTCCTGAAGTGATGGGTAAACATGGAACAAGTCAACACTCTCTAGCTCATTTTGTCTTTTTTTTTTTTTTTAACATCAAAGAATCACCTGAAGTGTAAAAGGGCAGTTTTAAAAAGTGCATTTCACAGGATTCCATGTTTTCAAAACCTTTTCAAGCATGTAATTAGAAAAAAACTGGAGGAAAGTACTCTTGACAGTTTAGTGGTTATCTCCGAGGGATGGGATTATGAGGCACTTGCCCTTTGTACTACGTATGTTTGAATTGTTCTTTAGAGCCATATATAAAAAAGCCAATAGATCTTTTAAACAGACTCTAAAAAATATACGTGCAAAACATAAGGACCTGGAGATCACCAAGTGATCCATGCTGGCTACCTTGGGAAAGGTGTGGGGCTTGGACCGGCTGGCAAGTGAACAGGACTGTACTTTTGTTGTCTTTAGTTTGGATCTCAAGGACTACGTACCGTTGTAGAAAAACTTTAGTGCCCAACACTCCAATCCACCCACACAGGCAGACCCATTCTCCCGAGTGGGAGGAAACCTTTCAGGACATGGACAACACTGTCCTCGTCCCTCCCTGACCCCAGGATGCAGCCCACTCCCTCCCCCTCAGGTGACCCGCACACACTGAAAGAGGAGCCAAGGGGCCTCATTGTAACACTCATTTTTATATAAATATCCGCAAGTCATGTTACAGAATAAGCCCCACCGGGGAAAAAAAGTCAACGTTATGTTTTTGTTAATCTGACCCCTGCCTTCTAGGTTGGGCCCCAGCCTGGGGGCACCTGCTGCTTTGGGAAGGCTGGGGCTGCTGCCATTAGGCTGCTGAGGAAGCTGCCTGTGTGGCCCACCCCCGGGCCGACCCCCTTCTTTGGTGTGTGGTACATGGTGGCCTTCTCTGGCCCCCCATTAGCCTGGGTCAAGGTTTTGGGTAACAGGGTTCTGGAGAGCAGGGCCCAGGAGTCCTGGGGGCACTTGGAAATGGAATGAGGGACTGAGCCACTAAGAGGTGGAGTCTGAAGCTTAGAGGTTGAAGCCTTTTGGGGATGAGAGCATAAAGAGGTAACAGGAACAAGTGGGGGGTAACCTGGGTTGTCAGCCAAGCAGGAAGCATCTGCACTTCTTTCCAGCCTAGGTACCAAGGTCCCTTCACCTGTTGGTCCTATCTCCTGCTGGACCCCATATGCCTAGGGGTAAACCCTGGGTTCCTGCCTGTCCCCTTCCAGCTCTTCCCCCTGTAACCCTCCCTCCTCCCCCCACAGAGAGGCCAGAGGCTAGGAACACAGCACCAGTCTGAGGATTTAATTAACCAGGAAGGGGGATTATTGGGAGGGGCACCCCTGTAAAAATGTACAAAAGGTCTGGGGGGGCTATGTGGAAGGGGAGATAAATATGTACATGGAACCCCCCTTCCTTTAGCCCCTCCTCCCCCAGCCCTGAGAGGGCATGAGGACTTGGGTGGTAGGTGAAGGGGAATGGGGGGCACTTTGGCCTCTGGCTTAGTGAGCCCTTGGGGAGGCAGGCCAAGGGCCTAGGGACCCTCAGAGGGGGTGATGGTGCACCTCAGGAGATCATGAGCTATGACCGCTGAAATGACCCCCTCTTGTGTGTGCGTGTGCGCATGCACATGCATGCACACACGAAAGCACGCACGCACGCACACACAGCCCCCTCTCTAGAGGCTTGTGACCTCTGCCCTCCCAATGACCCCCAAGGTCCACCTGATGCTTGATCTCTCGGGGGTTGGGACTTCTGCTCCCAAGTTTCATGACCTCAGAGGTGTGGCTGGTGAGGTCCTAATCTTTTGCCCTCCAGCCCTGACTTGAAACCTCAGCTCTAGGACCTTGTCGAAAGGAAAGGGGGATGGAGCTTTGCCCCTGCCCCTCCCCTCCCCTCACCTCTCAGCCCGGGCTGGGCCAGGGGCCCTAGGTGGGGAACTGGGCCGGGGGGCAGGGACAAGTGGAGGCGGTGCCCCCAAAAGGGCTCCTGGTGGGGTCTTGCTGAGGAGGTGAGGGGTTCCTGGGGCCGCAGTAGGTGGCGGTGGAGGGGCCAAGCGGCTGTATAGCAGGGGATGGGCAGGCTCTAGACCGTAGAGGCGGGCAGCGGCCACGGCCCCTGGTCCAGTCAGCTCCTCACCCGCCTCATAGAAACGGGGTGGCCTGGCAAGGCGAGGCGGTGCTGCCAACCAGGTAGGCTCCAGGAAGCCAGCACAGCGCTCTGGAGGGCTAGGGCCCAGAAAGGGGGGTGGCCGGGGCCTCTCAAACAGCAGGTGAAGACCCTGAGGCCCAGTGGTGGCAGCAGCAGCGGCGGCGGCAGCGGCGGCGGCGGCGGCAGCGGCGGCGGCAGCAGCAGCAGCCTCTTCCTTCCGCTCCTCCTTCACCCGCACCGATTCCTTGGCTGGCCTGGCCCCTTCCTCGCCAGTGCGGGTCTTGGGAGTAGCAGGAGAAACTCGGAGCTGGGGCCGTGAGAAGGGGAGGTCCCTGGGGAGGCAGGGTGGTGGGAGAAAATGAAGGCACTGCAGAGATCAGGGTCCGCAGGGGCAGGCAGAGAACGCGGGCCGAGCGTGGGCGCCATACCGGTCTTTCTCCTCCTTGGTGATAGAGGGCTCCCTCCGCTCCACAGGCCGCTCCTTGTCTGAGCCTGGTGTCCGGGCGGCCTCAGGGGGCCGGACCCAGGCAGGAAAGGCCAGAGGACTGCGGTGCAGGCGGCCCCATGGGTCTGGGGGGGAGGCGAAGGCTGGTGGGGCCCCTGGGCTTTCTTTCTGGGCAAAGACGGCGCCGGAGTCTAGACAGAAAGCAAAGGAATGCGTGTGAGAGGAGCAAGCAGGGAGACTCCACTCAGGCTTCCTCCCAGACCCCCACCTGAGCACACAGCCCACTGGCAGTCCTGCACCCACCCCACCCTACCTCACCCAGCACTCACTGAATGTGGGGCTGCCCAGGCCTCCAAAGGCCCCGTTGGAGAGGGCAGCCAAGGAGGCGAAGCTTGTGGGACGTCCAAAGGGATCTGTGGAGAAAAGGTGGGTGGTCAGAGCATTGGGCAGCCAGTTCTGAGCTGGTACCAAAAACTGGTAGGAAAGAGACAGATGAGCAAACAGGCCCTGGAGCCATCAGCCGCTTGGTTCCTAACAACCACGTGCTGAGCACTTCCTCGGTCCACGCAAGGCCCTTAGCTCTGACATGCACTGTGTCGTTTAGCTCACAACCCCATGAGGCAGACAGGACCATTCCCGCTTAAAGGTGATACACAGGCTCAGAGAGGTTAAGTGACTTGCTAATGGTCAGTGAGTGGTACCCCCAACCCAGGGTCTTTCTGATTCCAAGGTTACACACCCCCATAATCAATGACCCAAGAACAGCCCTATAGAAAGCCGCTCATCTGGAAACCTGCTGGCTTCCTCCCACCTGACATGCAAGGTCCTTCCCACCTGACCTTAACTTCACAACCTGTCACGTAGCCAGTCAGAATAACTCACCTATCCTGCTATGGGAGCCTCACAGTTTCCTTTTCCAGAGACACCTTCCCTATGCCATCGGGTGCAAATCCTCCTTGTCCACCTTCACCCAGGCTACATCGCCCCAAGAAGCCCGTCGAGATGACTAGGAGCCAGTGACCGTGCTCGCCCCTGTGCCTGCAGTCTCCCTCCACCCTCTCCCGCAGGTGGCACTCTACCCCTCACCCACGCTGTTTCAGAGACAGTATCTGAGCTGGCAGAGACTGGCCATCACTCTGCCCTCCTCTATTCAGTTTTACAAACGATGAAATCAAGGCTCAGAGGGGCTGGAGCAACTTGCCCTAGATCACAAAGCAAGTGGAACCAGGTCTACCACCCCCTTCCAGCTGCCTCTCAGGCCTAATTTCCATCCCCAGCTTGGAACTCCTAAAAGTCAGGGATAAGGCCTGGGTTGCCCAACATGCCCTTGGCTCTTACCAATGTGGGTGCTGGGGCTCAGGAAGGGTCCGTGAGCCCCGGGAGCTGCCGTGAAAGGGTTGGCTGCAGCGTGGACGGCACCTGGGGCAGAGAGGTGGGAGATGCTGATGAGGCTGCGTAGGCCTTGGGCTATAGATGGGGAACCTCAGGCCCTGAGAGGGTTGGCCAGACTCACCAGTCGCAGTGAAGAGGGAGGCCGGGTGGGAGAGCTCCTGCCCAGGGGGCAGGGCCCCATAGGGCCCCGGAAGGCAGGGCAGGAGGTCGTTCCGAAAGTCAAGCTTGTGGGAGTCGCCCTGCATGGGACAGGGAGAGGGGGCAGTTGAGTGAGGAGCCAGGACTGGTCCTGCTCTTGCTCTTCCACCCCTGCTCCCCCTCCAAGGGCTGGCTGGCGCCAAAATGGGACTTGGGCGCCTATCCTGTCTCTCTCAGAGTGTCCTCTCACCACCCCCCTACTTAACCACAGAACCTAAAATGCTTAATAGGGAATTTCTGAGGCACTGACTGGGAGAAAGAAGGGAATATTTCTGGCCAAGATTCTGCCAAGCTCTGCTGAAGGCAGATGCCCAGAGTCCAGGCAGGTCCGTTTTCCCCAGCCCACCGGCCCCAGTACCTTCATCTTTTCCTGGTGTCTCAGGATCATGTAAGCCACGCGCACGTGCATGGCACACCACTTCCCTGGTTTCTGCCGCCCCAGAGGATGACCAAAGGGAAAGGGAAGGAAAGAAGTTCACTCATCACCCATTCCAGGCCTGGCCCTGGGCCCAGCCTTGCCACACAACATCTCCATTCATCATCCCTGCAACTGAGGGACGACTAGGTTCATTTCATAGCCTAGGAAACTGAGGCTCAGAGAGATGAACTGTCCTGCCCAAGGTCCCATGGCCAGTTACAGCTGAACCCAGGTCTGCGGCTTGCAAGCCTTACGCTTCTGCTCTTACACATCTGGCTGCCTCCACGTCTTGTCCTTCTCGCTCATTCCCAAGCAAGACCGCCCTCCACCCCCCTCAGCAAACACCTTGATACCAGTCCCAGGCTCATGCAGTCTGGGGTCCTCACCAAACTCACCCTCAAAGGTGGCCGGAAATGGTCGGGGATCTGGGGATGGCAAAGCAGAGATTGGTGGCAATTCATACCTGTTCACTGACCTGGGCACCTCATTTCACAACACCCAGCCCTTTCCCCAAACACCTCCAAGACTTTGTGTAGCTCCTTCAAACCATTCCTGCTTGTGTCAAGACACTGTTCCCCATCTCACTCACACTGGGCATCTCCCCTCCAGCACCAGTTTCTGACCTGGGCCCTGAGAAGCCCTGCTCAGAAGGCTGGGGAGTGGGTGAGTGGGCAGATGGGATGGGAATTTCAATCAAAGAAACTATCCTATTGGAAGTTTTACATAATGAAGATTTGTTTAAAATTCCCTTATAAAAAAGCCTTTGCTGCTACTAAAGCAGGCTGGAAAACCTTTGGTGATGTCTACCCTTTAGGAAACACAACTTGGGCTGATTTCGTGAAGTTTTCCAGAGCTCTGGACGCTAAGGCTACTACATGTGGCAAGTGGGAGGGAAAGGCCTGGCTCCCTGTGCCACTTCACAAAGGCACAATTTGTATTTTCATTGTTTCATGGACAGGACTTCCTGGAACGATGTCATTTGGGGGTCCCATGACTTGAAAGATTTAATAATCCCTATGAAGTGCACTATCCAAGTCATTTTATGTCCGGGGCAATTTCTTGAAATTTCTGTCTTTCATGCCTCAGGAATCCTGTTGATGAAGGAATTCCCTCTCATTAGATTCTCAGGGATGTCATGATCACACGTTTAAAGGGGGCGGGAAATCAATGGTTCACTCTCAAATCAACCCTGTTCTCCCTCAACATTTTTTCCAGCTTCCCCAGGACCTGCCTCAGCCCCCCTCACCTGTGTCCCCTTTTGGGGAAGCCCGCTTGGCACTGGCCCCAGTCGTGGTGGCAGCTCGGGGTTCGTGCTCTGGGAAAGGGGAGTGGAGGGATCAGTCAGGAGAGTTGGCACCAGGCACAGAGGGGTCTAGAACCAAGCCCCGGTCTGGGGCAGGGAGGTAAGGAGCAGGTTTTGGAGACACCTGGGTCTGTGAGGGGAGGGGCGGGAGATGGGCATGGCTCTGTGGACAGGAAGAAGGTATATGATCCAGGGTGTCTGGGCTTGGTCGTGTCAGTATCTGGTTTGGGAGCTCACCTTGGGCTGGAAGGCCCCCTGCAGGGAGCCAAAGGAGACAGCCGGCGGGAGACCCGGAGGTAGGCCGGGCACTGCGGGAGGGAAGGCCGTGTACGGCTGTGGAGAGAAGGGGGCTAGTCCAAGCTGGGGGCGGAGGTGCAGCCCACATCTGGTCTGCCCATCAGTTGTCTGGCCTCCACCCTAAAACCCCCCCCAGGGAGCTTGACAGGCTCAAGGTTCTTGTTTTTAAAGCTGAAGACTGGACCCCAACTGTCAGGGCCACATGCATTGGTGCATCCATGCCCACACACCGTGCGTGCGCGCGCGCACACACCCACCCACACACCCACACACACACACACACACACACTCACATTATGCCGGAAAAGGCCTTCCATCTTTCCTGGATATTTCTCAAACTAGGGAAGAGAAGGGAAGAGTAAGCTGCCAACCAGGGACACAGGGCCTTCCCCTGGAAGCCAAACCCTCCCCCCAGGTCTCTGAGCCTCATCACCAGCCCAATGAGGAGCTCACCATGTGGGGGCCGTGGGGTGGCAGCAGGCCCGGGGGATAAGGGGTGAAGTGCTGGTGGGTGTGCTGGTGGGTGTGCTGGTGCTGGTGGTTGTGCTGGTGGAACTGGAAGGCCAGGGGCCGGGCCGAGCCCCCTGCCCCCACCACCTCGGGGCCACCCTGGGCATTCAGGTAGCGAGAGTTCAGGTCCTGGCCGATCAGGTCCTGCTCTGTGGGAGGGGAGGGGGAGAAGGCTTTAATATCTGTTGCCACCATGTCAGCCTCCTTGGGCCCAGGTGACTGGCCTTCCTTTTCTGGCCTTGAGCCACTCCCTCCTCAAGCCCTGCTGTCTGCTAAGGTCCAGATGCCCCAAAGTCAACTGGGCCCAAGCCCAGAGCCATGGCCCCCCACCCCCCGGCCAGGACCCCAAACTCACCAGAAAGGGCGTTAGCAGCTGAGGCCCCAGGGTGCCCTGGCACCTGCAGCAGGGGTGGGGGTGGGGGCAGGGTGGGGCCAGGGGAGAACAAGGAGGGGTGGTGGGGTGGTGGGGGGGGCCGCAGCCCAGGGGGAGGAAAGCCGTGGGTGGACAAAGGCAGGGGCAGTGAGGGCGTCGGGGGCCGGTGGGTGAGCTGCGCGGACGAGGAGGAGGCAGATGAGGAGGAAGAGGACGAAGAGGATGATGAGGGGGGAGGCTGAGCCACGGGAGGGGCCAGGGCCTTGGGGGGCGGCCGTGAAGAGCTGGGGAGAGAAGTGGGGAGATGAGTGAGGGGTTGGGAGGTGCCAGCTCTGACGGGAGAGGGTCAGAAGCCTGGACGATACCTTGACCCTGGTTCTCCAACATGGAAGGTGGCAGAACCCGGCCCCCAGGACACCCACCCTCCACCCAAGGAGCCCATCCTCTGACTGAGGTGCCTCCCACACCCGGTAACCCTTCTCTCCCCTTCTAAGAGGTCTCTTCTTCCACACAGCTGCCTGTGACATTTTTGGCCACGTGACTTGCCCTTCTCTGACTCAACCACAGCAAAAAAAACATATCATTCATTTTGACGCTTAATTACAACAGGCCACCTGGGTTCCCACCCTAAGACAGTGGAAGCAGCACCACTCTGGCCTGGCCTGAGTCAAGAGACCAGAATTCTAGGCCCACCTGGCCATTAACACCCTGGGTGACCTTGAGCAAGTCACTGCCCTCTCTGAGCCTTAGTTTTCTCAATAAGAAAAAAATGATAATGATTAAGACAATAAAGCGATAGCATCGATAATAATATCAATAATTCTTACCCTTCAGAGTGCACTTACTGTAGGCCAAGTGCTGTCACCCGCTTATATGCTAACGCAAGGCTCCAGCATCTCACACCACCTTCTCAATTGCTGCCGCATCCACTTAACCAACTGTACCATTTACTTCTTTAATTTAACTCAGTTTCTTTTTTACTTAGCCTCACCCTAAGCAATAACATGTGAAATCAAAGGGTTCAGATACTAGTTATATATTTCTAAAGCACATAAAAGCCACACAAAAGTTTACTCACATAAGATCTGAAATTATCTCACATACCACTAGCGACGATGAGCATACACACTTTGGGAAACACTGCATTAAGTCATAATTAATCCTCACAACAGCTTTAGAATGAAGTGCTAATATTATTATTTCACTTTACAGGAAGAGGAAATTGAGGCTCAGAGAGGTTGACTTGTCAAAAATCACACAGCCACAAAGTGGCAGAGCAAGAATTTGAATCCAGGTTTGACCAACACCAAAGCCAGCACTCTTAATCATGTCAGCATTTCCCAAAGTATGCTCCGGGGAACACCATTCCTAGCAGATGTGCCTTGCAAAAAGGTCACTACCAGCAAATAAAATTGGGAAATGACACAAACTGGATTCCCCCAAAGATGAATGCGTAAGGGTTCTGACAAGTCCTGCAGTTATCTCTTGAAATTTGTTTCGCCCAGCGTCTCTCACACTTTTCAGCCTCAGAATCCTTTTTCACGCCACACGCCGCAAGTACCATCCCATGTCCCCGCCACAGGATACAGGGGTTGTTGCCAAAATGACCAGGCCCTTTCAGACCAGACCAAACCCCTGGACCACTCACCTGCCAGTGCTGAGGTCCAGGCTGCTGCCATAGGGAGAAGTGCGGAGGCCGAAGGGCGAGACCCGAAGCTGCAGCTGGGGCTGGGGTGGGGGTGGCAGACTGGGGGCGGCCGGCAAGGGTGCAGGGGGTGAGACAGGAGGCCGAGGGGCCGGTGGAGGCGGTGGTTCCTTCGGGGGGAAAGGCACTAGCAGCGGGTCGGGCCCTGGGGGCTGTTCCTGGCTCCGCTCCAGGCCCGACACTTTAGGGACTACGGAGAGTTTTGCTTCACAGTTCCCATTGAAGGCGCCATGGGGGCCCGAGGCTATGAGGGCAGGACATCAGACACAGTCAGTTGAGGCCCATGCTCATCCAGTTTCCCTCCCTCAGCCCCAACCCCAGTCCTTGGGACCAACCTTTGCTGGTTGAGACAGTAAAGGATGGGTCGAGGTCATCATCGGAGACCTGGGGAAAGGGGCAGGGACAGGATCAGGCTCTGGCCAGGCCAGGCCCTCACCCAGGAAGGTAAACAGCTTCTGAAGCCTGCTAGGAACTGGCAGTGGTGGTAAATCTTACCCATCAGTTTACTTGAAATATACCAAAGACCTAGGGCTCTAGGGAGCTCATAGTTGGGAAAAAAAGATGGAGCAGCTGAACCTGAGAATCTGAAAAGTCAAGAGGACTGAATCCAGGCAGCGCTGAAGTATTAGAGAAGCGGACAAGTCAAAGCAAAATGCCTTGTATCGCCAACTGTTGGCCGATGGGCGTACCTGGCTTACAGACTGATTTGGTCCACAAGTGTTAGCAAAAAAGTTTTAACTACTTGCTAATGTTTAGAAATCCAGGAAATCCTCATAAAAACTCAGAGTTGCAGATTCTCTTGTGAATGGGCCTACAGTCTTGTGTGGCAACAGTTCGCTAGAGCTGGATAGTGCCTGCCCCCTTTACATGGACAAGAACTTTTTGGGTTCACTGTAGCCCCCGTTTGGTCAATTTTTTAGACAAAAACAAGACACGTAACAGGGAGCACAAATCTAGTTACAGGGGAAGAGCATCAACTGTTGATCGTATAATTTCAAAATAGGCAAACCAGCCCTCAAAGTAAACTGAAATGCACCTTTACAGGGTACGTTCTCACACTCACTAAAGGGATCTAGTGTCCTCGCTGCCACAACCACACTTCTCTGCTCAAACTCTAATCTGTAAGTGCAGACTAATGGCCAGCAGGAAGGACCAGCTCAGCTCTGCGGCCACTCTGGATTTCCGTGGGGAGCAGCTGGTATCTCCATGGGCTTGGGAAGGGATGGCACATTAAGACATGAGCCTTTCATTCTTCGATCAAATGGCTCTACCCTCTCAATCCTCCCCACCACCTCCCAAAAACCTAATCCTGGTTCAACCTAACCATTGGTTCCCACTCAAGGGGAGGATCTGCTGAACATATGAACCCCGTAAGCTGCAGTTCATTTTACAAGCCGTAACACTGCCCACCCGACAGGTTCTAGCCCTACTCACCCTCTCGTCCAGATCACTTTCTGCATCACACTAGGGAGAAGGAAAGACAGAGGTGTCACAAGAGGGAAGAGCAGGGCCCAAGGTCGAGATGGGACTTTCAGAGAGGGGGCAGGGAGGGGCCAGCACAGGTGGATAGCACTTACTATGTATCCAGCTTCCACAGAATGACGGGAGGAGGCCTGAGAAAGACCAGAGTCCAGAGGTAAGAGAAGCTGACAGGCAAGGCCTTTGGATAAAGTCTAAACTCTCTGGCAAGGCACTCAAGGCCCCTAATGACCTCCTCTCAATCTCTTCCTAGCTGTTTTTCCTGCCCTTGCCCACCCTTGTTCCCATTGCTCTTGCCATTTTCTACACAAACCCATCTCTGTGCTTTTGCCCAAAACTACTTTGCCCTGTTTCTCCTCTTAGCAAACTATGACTGTCCTTCAAGGCCTGACTAAGACATCCTAGGGGGCTTTCCCTCACCACAACCCTCCTCCCATCCCCCAGTTCGATTAAGTGGCTTCCTCATGTGGGTTTCTGCAGCATCTCTCCCTGATCTCTGCCTTCAGTGGCTTCTCAAGTTCTAGCCTAGGCTTTTGTTTGTAGACTATATCTTTCTGTCTAGACTGCCACCACCTTGAGGGCAGGGTGGAGACCACATCTAGTTCATTTATGATTCAACTAAGTCCCTTATATACAACTCCTAAACTACCAACACGTCTAGAGTAAACTTACTGCCAATCAAAAGCAAGTGGGTCTGACTACAGAGATGACTCTATCAAACCTGGGCAGGGGAGTGGGAGCTCAGATTTGCTCTGCCTTCCTCTTTGCCCTTAGAGACTCGGGCACTGTTTACCACGGGTAGTGTCATTGCTGATGGAAAATGGGTCTGAAGGACATTCTACCCAGAATTTTACAGGACAGGGATCTGGGACAGGCTCACCTCTTTCCTTCTCCGTTTATTGGGCCATTTTCGAGCCCGATCCCCAGAGGGCCGGCCAGGTTCCCGATCAGAGCTGTCCCCTGGCTCCCCAGTGGCCCCACTGGAGCCCCCCCTCTTCCGCTTCCCAGAATGCTTCAACCGATGTTCCAGTCGTTCTGGGGGCTGAAGAGACGCATCCTTCTGTGGAGGAGGAGGTGGGACTAAAGCAGATGGAGAAAGGAAAGCCCCCGACCTCTCTAGGGGTGACCAAGCTACCGAAGTGGCTCTCGGGCCGGGTAACCTGGTTGGTCCCTGGAGACTAGCTCTACCTCCTCCCACCCCAGGGTGGGGCAGAGGCCTGGCCAGAGGAGCCGGTTGCTCTGGTTTGGGGTGCCAGCATTCCCCCCCAACTCCACCCACTCTAAGCACCGTACCCTTCTCTCTGGCCCTCTGAAGCCCCCAAAGATCCCTAGTCCCATTAAGGCCCCACCTGCAAGGCCTCGAGGCTGGCGAAACTGGCGATGGCGAAGCCATCGATCAAGTCCTCCTCCTCTTCTTCCTCCTCCTCAGGCTCCTCCTCGGCCTCCCCGTCGTCTGCGCCCCCCTCTTCCTCCTCCTCCTCCTCCTCCCCGCGGCTGCCCGAGCCGGCAGGCCGCTTCCGAGCTCGAGGTCGCGGGGGCCGAGGCCTGGGACGCGGCCGCCGCCGTCTCGGGCCTCCAGGTCGCTCTCCAGACGAGGCTGACGACCAGGGCCTGGCGGGCGGCGGCGGCGACGACGAGGACGAGGAGCCGCGCGGGGCGGCCAACAGGGCCCGGGGCGCGTCGCCGCCGGGACCTCGGCGGCGCCGCTGCTCTCGGTCTCGGTCTCGGCGCGAGCAGCGCCGCCGCCGCCGCTCCCCCTCGGCGGCCCAGCCGGGGCCCGGAGCCGCGGCCGCTGCCGTCTCCATGGCGACCGCCCTCAGCGCCGCATCCGGAGGCGGCGGGGCCCTAAGCGGCCTGTCCGCAGGCCCGGGGTCGCAGGCGCGGCGCTGGCTGCTGCACAGAGGCGAAAGGGCCACGGCTTCCCCTTTAAAGCAGGATCTGCTGGCCCCAAGCTTGCCCCAAGGCCAAGGCCCGGGGAGCCAGCGCCGCTCCCGGGGCGACAAGCCCAAGGGCCCCCCCCGTGGGGCCGAGACGCCGAAAACCGGGCGGCCGTCCCTTTAAGGCAAGGCCTCAAGTTCTCCAGCCCCTGGCCCCTTTAAGACGACCCGACGGTGTCCGGCCGGCCTAGTGCGGTGGCCGCCCCCTGCCAGGGGTCGAGACAAGTCTCCCCGAGGAAGAGGAAGGGACACCCCTTTAAAAGGGGCCGAAAGCTCGCCCAGAAACGCAGACCTCCCCTTTAAAAGTGCCTCGAGTCCGCCGGCTAAAACAAGCCACCCCTTTAAGGAGTCCAGGGTCGTCCAACTAGCAGGCCGTCCCTTTAAGGGCTCGGGAGTTAGTTTCTAGTCCTCCACAAGCGGCCACTTCCCTTTCAAGCTGAATTTAAAGGACTTCTTGCGTGGGGGGAGGAGGCGGTGAGAATCCCCACTCGTTCCAATTCTCCCAACAGCACAGTTCTCAATTTGTCAGCTTCTGTTCGGCGGCTTCCCCTTTAAGGTTGGCGTTGTAGTCCGCCGAGTTCAGTGTCCACCCCTTTAAGGAGATTTAAAGGGGCCTCCTCCAGACCCAGCTCTTCCAGCCTCCGCCTCCGGACGCCATGAAAGGCGCGAGGGGGGGGCGGGGCCGCGGGGGCCAGCCCTCCAAAGCCCCGGATGTGAGGCAACAGTGACGGGTAGAGCTTCTCTGTCTGCCGACATAAAAGTCTCTTCCTCCTTTCCTCCGTCTGTGTGACTTGCGCCTTAAGGGATCCGGAACAGCCGCTGGGCAGCTGGGGAGTTCCAGCGCGCCTTCCCGCAGTCTCCTTTGGAGTCCGGGCCTCTTCTCCTCCAGGACTTCCCTGCCCCTCCTCCCCCTTCCTCCCCAGCCTACGCCTCCTTCCTCTCTGCCTCCTCCCCCGCCCGCCCCCTTCCCCCTCACCCCGCACGGGCTCAGGCGTCCATAGGTGGAGGAGTTTGCGTCAAAGCGAAGGGCGGCGTCGAGCTCGGGCCGGGGTGGGGGACGTGCGCTCGGCCTCAAGCCTGGGATTGGGCCCGCGTCACGCTGGCTCCGCCCGCCATCAGGTCTTGTGACCGGACTGGTCAGAAGTGGGCGCTGGGGGCGGTCGCCCGGCCGCCCCCGCCTCTTCCTGCGCCGCGTTCATTGGCCCGCCCTGTGCTGGCGACGGGGCGCGGCGCCGGCTGCGGGCTCGAGGCGGCGGGGGCGGTTGGCCGCTGGGCGGCGCGCGGTCGCGGAAGGCCGGCTCGACGGCCGGTTGCGTCGTCGCCCCCTTCCGTCGCCGGCTCCTCGCACGCGCGGGGCGTGGGGGGGGGGCCGCCGTCGTCCGGCCCGCGGCCGGCGGGGTCGCCCGAGCCGGGGAGCTCGGTCCACGCGGGGGGCGCCGGGCGCGCGGGAAGGGAGCCGCGTCCTGCCACCCCTCGTCCCTGGAGCGGGCGCCGCCCGAGCGCCCCACGTGCTAGCGATCGTTTTTTAAAAACACCCTGCACTTGTGTGTGGGGGGCACGTCCCCACGTAGCAGCGCATTTGGCGGTGGGGATTCTTTCAAGGGAGGCTCTTCTCCTAGCCCGCGTTTTACAGAAGCGGGGGGAAGCGGTGAACATCTAGTTACCTAACGAATTCGGTTTCCAGAAGGTAGCCCCGTCTGTGCCCTTCGCCGTAGCTCTTTTCCGCCTTTGCGACATACGTGGAGTGCCACCTGGGCCACTCGACGTGACGTGCGCCCAGCCCTTAATGTGGATGTACTGCCACATTCAATTTCTTAGTTGCAAAATGCGTTTAATTCCTTTTCACAGCGCGATGTGCAGGTCAAGCGCCTGTAGGTGGGTCAGTCTCTGCTGATGATTCTTAGCACTTTTCAATCAGCAGCAGGTTCTCGCCTGCACCTTAGAGGAATTCAGGGCCATCTTGATCCTTGGTCCACTACGGGACTCTCCGTGAGGGAAGTGAATTGAGAGAACACCTGACCGGGGGCCGAGGGTCACAGTCTCTTCTGAAGTAGATTCAGATTCTTTCCACACAGGAGATTTCTCAATTCAAGAGAGTTTTATGAACGTTCCCCCAGCTTCTCCCTGTACCCAACCCGCAGTGCCTTTCCTGGCACCTCCTCCTTTCCCAGACTTTTGGGGGCCAAAGTAGAAACATCAGTCAATACTGCCCATCAAACTCAGCTAGAGGCATACAAAAGAATCAGAAACATATCGAAAACTTTACTAGAAATAAAGAGAAAAAATATAACTGCTTCAGAGGCTCCCCCTCCCACCAGGATGGCTGCATATATAAAACAGATGGAGTTCCTAAGTCCACGGGGGCTGCTCCCTATCCCCTTCCTCCTCTTCCAGGAGCAAGGCATCCAGCTCCTCCAGTCGTCGCTGCAGCAGGGGTTCCACGTCTGGGCTGGGGGCCTTGCTGGGAGTAAGGGTCCTGCCAGCTGCAGCCCGGGCCCCTCGAGTTGGCCTCCGAGATCGAGGAAGGCTGCTGTCCCGAAATTCCACAGCCCGACGGAGCTTCCTTGAGCTGGTGAAAATCAGAGTCCCGTTGCGCTCCCGGGGTTCCTCAAAGATGGTCTCAAAGGTCCTGGACCAGGCAGGGAGGGGTGCTGGTTACCAGCATGCCCTCTGGTTCCAGCCTTCCCTCTTTCACCCCCAAGCCTTTGAAGTTTCTCACCTCCTGGTTGTAGGTGACTGATAATTCTTATTGGTATAAATTTCTTCCAAGCTGAACTCCTTCTTGTTCAACCTGGCAGCAAAGAGCAGAGACCACTGAGAAACCCGGGGCCAGTAGGGTCTAGAGAAAGGGTAAGCGAGGGCTGGAATGTATTTAGTTTCTGGAACAAGCCAAGGACTAAGAGTGCTGCCTGAAGCAGGAGGCCCTGAGCACAAACACATCCAGACCAAACTGACCATCGGACTGTACTCTTTGAGAGGAGACAAAGCCACACGCTTCAGGGGACCCCCACTGACACCTTTTTGGCCAAGGCAGCTCTGGGCACAATGAGCCTCTCACCTGATTGGCCGAGGCAGCCCCATAGGTGTAAGATTTAGCTGAGGACGCGCAGGTGTCCGGCGTATTCTGAATCGAGAGACCTTTCCCATGGTCTGCAAAGATGGGGCCGCGGGTGAGAGTGCAGTATGGGACAGACTCCGGCTTGTCTCTTCCCCTCCGCTGCTCTTACCTTCATCCCAGGGTCTGAAAGAGCCCGATCCTCTGAGGTTCTTGGCTCCATCCCCTTCGCTGCACCCAACCTGCAGAGAAGGTCCAGGCTCAGGAAGAAACAGCACGCAGGGCCTTAGCCCGCGGCCCGCCCGCCGGGCGCTAGGGGAGGAGCCTGGGCGGGGACTGCCCGTGGCCTCAGGCGGGTTTAGCGAGAGCACTACCTGGGTTCTGCAGGTTCAGAGAAGGAGCAAGCGGATGCGGTGGACGAGCAGGGTGTGCTGAGGGGAAGAGAGCCTCCCACTCCTCCGAGAGGGAAGACCTCTTTCCGGAGACAGGGCCGAGGGGGTGGCGGGGCTCGGGCCATCTCCCCACCACCCACAGTGTGCCGCCGGGGCCGGGGCCGGCTTCGATGGGGTGGAGCAGGGGGCCAGCTGCAGGCATCTGGGCCAGGGGGCCCCAGATCAGGACAGGAGTGGCTTCGGCCCAGAGAGGGCTTAGGGAGAGGCGCTGGGGGGCTGCGGTCTTGGGTCCGCCACTGGTGGATAGGAGGCCGGGGACTGACAGCGGCAGTGCCCTCGGCAGCCCCAGACTGCTCGGCCTCTGAGATGGCAATCTTCAACTCCAGCTTCATGGGGGGTGTCGGGGGTGGGGGCCGTGGGGCTTTGTTGGGCGTGAGAAAGATGTCAGCAAAGCTTTCCAGCTTGGAGCGGACGGAACGGAAGAGCGGGGCCAAGCCCCAGGGACCGAGCCGGGGGCGTAAAAGGCTGGACGGCGGTGGGGTCGGTGGGGGCTCCAGAACAGGATCTGGGGCTGAGGAAAGGAGAGGGTCACAGGTGGGCATTCCTCAGCTGCCGGGTCTGAGCTCCGCTTCGGTAGTCTCAGCCCCTCTCCCGGACACTAAACTTTGCCCACAGAGGAACAAGCCCACTGCAAACATCTAAGCCCTAAATCTGGAAGTTGAGGCTCATGCTCTGAAGTCCCACCTTTACACACTAAGCTCTGCCCTTGGAGGGGGGGGGGGTTGAGCCCTGCCCCTCTTCTCTGCCTCACACTTCTAAACTTGGGATTTTCTAGATGCCCAAGTCTCATCCCTCTAGCTAGCCTTACCTGGGAGCGAGCTCTCCTGAGCATCTGTGGGCAGGGCAGATGGTTGGAAGGGGGGTTCCGGGTCTTGGGGTGCAGGCGTTGGCTGGTGAACCATCATCACGGGCTTGGTTCTGGGGTGAAAGTGCAAGGTAAAGGCTGGGGCTTCCAGGTCCAGATACCTACTGAGCCAGCACCACCCCTAACCCTTCAGGCTTTCAAAGGCACTATAAGGATCAGACAAGTAAACACTCTGGCTGCTGTGGTGCACAGGTTGTTGCCCGGACAGCTTGATCATCCCATCCCCAGCCTCTCACCTTCGAACCGGGACGATGAAGTCATGAGTCTCATCGGCGAAGCCCTAAATATAAAAGGGATACTTGTGAGGAGGCAGGGAGCCCTCTTTGGCCTCCTTAGCTCTCTACACTCCAACTCTCAGCCTCCAGATGCCTGCCTGTGTTCAAACCAAAGGGTTTTTTTTATGTTGGTTTTTGCCTGGGCAGTGTCTTCTGCATAAAATGTTGTCTTCCTTAATCTGAGCAAAGTCCACCCCACATCCAACCTTCCTACCCATGTC